TTTATATTTAAAGTATATTTCTTATATTTCTTATCTTTCACTTTGTTTTTCTTACTCCTAACATTTCCATTTGACTGTTTTAAAAGTTTGCCTAAGAGTTCATCCACATGCTGCCCAGCTTGTCTGTCCGAAGTGCACAGTCGGTGGCTGGTCGGGCAGCAGGGGGCGGTGCAGCAGTCCTAACAATCAATTTTTGAAACTTTCCATTATCTCAGAGAGAAACCCATACCTGCGGCCGTCAATCTCCATTTTCCTCCAGACATCTCCCTGCCCCTTGCTTTTTGTCTCTGTAGATTTACTGATTTTGGATATTTCATATAAACAGTATCATATAATGGATATTCTTTGTGACTGGCTTATTTCAGAATAATTTTTTCAAGCACACTGTGACATGTATCTATCCTTAATTTGTTTTTTATCACTAAATAATAATGCCTTGTATAGCTGTACATCTTATTTATCCATTCATCAATCAATGGGCATTTAGATTGTTTCCGCTTTTTCGGCTATTCCAAATAATGCTGTTATGAACATTTTATGTACAGGTATTTGTGTGCATAATATTACATTTTCAATTCACTCGGGTATATTTTAAAAGTGGGGTTCCTGAGTTATTTGATAACTCTATATTTAACCTTTTGAGAAACTGTCAAACTATTTTCAAGAGTATATACTGCCCTGACTGGTGTGACTCAGTGGAGTGGGTATCATTCTGCAAACAGAAAGGCTGCCAGTTCAATTCCTGGTCACGGCACCCCATGCCTGGGTGCAGGCCAGGTCCCCTGTTGGGGGCATGCGAGAGGCAACTGTTGGATGGTCTTCTGGCACAGTAATGTTTCTCCTCTTTCTTCTTTTCCCTCCCTCTAAAAAATAGATAAATAAGACCTTTTTTTAAAAAAATGGAAGAAGCATTATTTAAAGGAGTGATCATGCCTTTTTCTTCCCACCAATACAAGGATTCTAATTTCTCCACATCCTTACCAACACTGTTACTGCTCATCTTTTTGTTAATAGTCATCTTAGTGGGTGTGAGGTGACTTTGATTTGTGTCTCCCTGATGGCTATTGATTTTTGAGCATCTTTTCATGTATGTATTGGCCATTTATATGTCTTTTTTGAGAAATATCTATTCAGATGTTTTATTTATTTATTTATTTTAAAGATTTCATTTATATATCTTTAGAGAGGGGGGAGGGAGGAAGAAAGGGAGAGAAACATCAATTGGTCGCCTGTTGCACACTCCCAACTGGAGTCTCAGCCTACAACCTGGGCATATGCCCTGATGGAATAGAACAAGTGGCCATTCATTCTGTGGGCCCACGCTCAATCCACAGAGCCACAGCAGACAGGGCTATGTTGTTGATTTTTAATTGAGTTATTTGTCTTTATTACTGACTTACGAGTTCTTTATGTATTCTAGATACAAGTCCCTTATCAGATATGATTTGCAAATGTTTACAGCCATTGATCGGGGTATTCTTTTTACATTCTTGATAATATTCTTTGATACACAAAAGCTTAACATTTTTTATATTGAGGTATAATTGACATGTAACATAGTATTAGTTTCAGATGTACAGTGTAATTATTGATATTATATACACATTGTGAAATGATCATCATAATATGTCCATTTGACATCTATCAACATACATGGTTGCAAAAATTTTTCTTTCTTGTTATGAGAACTTTTAAGATTTACTCTCTAGTAACTTTCAGATATGCAGTATAGTGTTATTAACTGTAGTCTCTGTGCTGTACGTTACATTCCCATGACTTAATGTATTTAGTAACTGGAAGGTTGTACCCTTTTACCCCATTCACCTATTTCACTGACATTTCACCTCTTGCCCGTGGCAACCATCATTCTGCTCTCTATCCATGAGCTAGGTTTGTTTGTTTAGATTCCATGTATAAATAAGATCATACAGTATTTGTCTTTCTCTAGCTGACTTCACTTAGCGTAATGCCCTTATGGTCCTTAATTTTTATGGAAGTATAATATTCACTTGCACATATGTACCACATTTCTTTATCCATCAGTGGACACTTAGGTTGTTTCCATTTCTTGGCTTTTATAAATAATACTGTAATAAACATGAGGGTGTATAGATCTTTCTGAGTTTGTGTTTTTATTTTCTTCAGATAAATACCCAGGAGTGGGTCGCTGGATCATATGATGGTTCTGGTTTTTAATTTTTTTGAGGAACCTCCATACCGCCTTTCATAGCAGCTGTATCAATGTACAGTTTCACCCATAGTGCACGAGGTTCCCTTTTCCTTGTATCCTCTCCAACATTTGTTACTTCTCGTCTTTTTTATGATAGCTTTTTGAAGGAATATCTCATTGTAGTTTTGATTTGCATTCCCCTGATGATTAGCGATATTAAACATCTTTTCATATACCTGTTGACCATCTGTTTATCTTTTTGGAAAAATTCCTATTCAGATCCTCTGCCCATTTTTCAATCAAATTGTTATTTATTAAGTTGTAGAGTCCTCTATGTGTTTAGGGTATTAACCCCTTACAAGTATATATTTTCCAATATTTTTCTCATTATTTTGTTGTTTCCTTTGCTCTGCAGGGCTTTTTAGTTTGGTGTAGTCCCACTTATTTATTCTTTTGCCTTGACTTGTGGTGTCAAATTCAAAAATGATTTGATAGGGATTTGATAGGGATTGCAGTGTATCTCTACACTGCTTTAGGTATTGTAGTATGGGCATTTTAACAATATTATATACATATATACAGAACATTCTATCCTAAAGCAACAGAATGTATATTCTCAAGTGTACATGGAATACTGTTAAGGATAAATCACATGTTAGACCTCAGAACAAGTGCTAAAAATTTAAGAAGATTAAAATATCAGGCATCTTTTGTAACCACAGTGGTGTGAAACTAGAAATCAGTTACAAGAAGAAAACTGGATAACTCACTAATTTGTGGAGAATAAGCCACGTGCCACTGAATAACCAATGGCTCAAAGAAGAAATCAAGAGAGAGAAAAGAAAACCCTGAGACAAATGAAAATGGAAATACAACATACCAAAAGTTGTGGGATGCAACAAAAACTGATCTAAGAGAGTTTACAGTAATAACTGCTTATATAAAGAAACAAGAAAAATCTTAAACAACCCAACTTTATATCTAAAAAAACTAGAGAAAGAAGAACAAAGTACTCAATTCAGAGAAAGAAGGAATTAACATAGATCAGAGCAAAAATAAGTTAAATAGAAACTAAAAAGACAACAGAAAATGTTAATAAGAGCTGGTTACTTAAAAACATAAACAAAATTCACCCTGGCCAGGTGGCCCCATTTGTTGGAGCATCATTGTGATGCGCAGGGATTGTGGGTCTGGGGCAACCCACAAACCCCTTTGGGGCACATGCACGAGACAGTCGATGGGTCTTTCCCTTACCCTCATCTTTCTAGGATCAATAAATAGAAAATAAAGTTTTAAAAATAAGTCTTTAAAAAACAAAATTGACAAATCTTTAACTAGAAAAAAGGGGGAATGAAATAAAATAAGAAATAAATGTTACAACTGATACACAGAAGATACAAAGACTCACAAGAGACTACTCTGAGCAAAAGTACACCAACAAATTCGACAACCTGGAAGAAATGGATCACTTCCTAGAAACATGTAACCTACCAAGGCTGAATCATTAAGAAACAGAAAATCCGAATAGATTGATTACTAGTAAGGAGACTGAATCAATAATCAAAAACTCCCCACAAACAAAAGTGCAACATCAGACAGCTCCACTGGTGAATTCTACCAGACATTCAAAGAATTAATACCAACCCTTCTCAACTCTTCCAAAAAATGGAAGAGGAGGGAACATTCCAAACCCACTTTACAAGGCTGCATCACCGATACTAAAAGTAGACAAGGATGCCAACAGAAAAGAAATCTGTAGGCCAATATTCCTGATTAGTATTGATGCAAAAATCCTCAACAAAATATTAGCAAACTAAATTCAACAGTACATTAAAAAGGTCATATTCTATAATCAGGTGCAATTTATGCTCTCAGAATGTGAGGGTAGCTCATCATCTACAAATCATCAATGTGATATGACACATTTATAGAATGAAAGATAAAAATCATATGATCATCTTAATAATAGATACAGAGCCCTGGCTGGTGTAGCTCAGTATATTGAGCGCAGGCTGTGAAGCAAAGGGTCGCTGGTTCGATTCCCAGTCAGGGTACATGCCTGGGTTGCAGGCCAAGTCCCCCAGTGGGGGCCATGTGAGAGGCAACCACACATTGATGTTTGTCTCCCTTTCTCCCTCCCTTCCTCTATCTCTCTAAAAATAAATAAATAAAGTTTTGAAAAAAGATAATAGATGCAGAAAAAGTATTTCACAAAATCTAACATCCATTTATGATAAAAATTCGCAACAGAGTGGATATAGAAGGAAAGCACCTCAATGTAATAAATGTCTCGTGTGACAAGCCCAAAGCCGATATCATACTCAGCAGTGGAAAGCTGAGAGCTTTTTCTGTGAGATCAGAACAAGACAAGGATGCCTGCTCTCACCACTTTTATTCAATATAGTATTGTAAGTTCTAACCAGAGTAATTAGGCAAGAAAAGGAGTAAATGGCCTCCACGTTGGAAAGGAGGAAGTGAAACTGTCTCTGCAGATGACTTTTTTTTAAGGCTTTAAGGAAGTAGATACGGGTGGGGGGAGTGGTGCGGGGGGAAAGGCAGAAAACTGTACTTGAACAACAATAAAATTCAAAAGTAATTTAAAAAGTATATAAATCTCAAGTACTATTGTTATTTTGCATCTGTGAGCTGTTATCAAGAAATGCTATTTAATGAATCTAAAGTTACGTAAGATAAATATCTAACTGAGATTGAAATCTAGGAGTTTTGTTCAGGCTTTTTACCTATATGTTTAGGTGTATTTCTGCATTTTATCAAATAAGTCTTAGATTATTAACATAAATTCATGTTTGATTTCATTTTCCACTTTTAGTGTTAAATGTTTACAAAAGACAGTGAAGGATTCTTATCACATAATGTGTAGACCATGTGCCTGTGAACTTGAAGTTTGTGCAAAATGTGGGAAAAAAGAAGACATTGTTATTCCGTGAGTATTTCCTTTATGTTTGGGTTTTACTCTTTCAATAATTGATAAGTGAATTTTATTTAAGGAAGCGTTCAGTAGCTCTGAGAGTCTTAAGTTGCAGTATATCACACTAACGTAGACTTTTTCTATCATATAGGGAAAAGCCTTAGTTTATCATTACAATAAAAGTAAAAGTTCATGTTTTTAGAAAATGAAAATATTTACCCATGAATTTCATATGCACTACTCATTACAGAAAAGTTCCTTATTAGGTAACTACATTCCTTTAATGAACATTATGCATTAATTTCTTTGAGCATACTTTATTAACGGTATTATAATTCATTGGATCTTGAGTTAAATTAGTCTTCAAGGACCTTTCTCTCTATACTTACTTCATTAGGCTTCTGTTAATCAGGAAATGTAGTGTAAAGTTTTTTTTCAGTATACACAGTTAAATAGTAAAAGTCTGAGAAATAAAGAGATTTTTCCTTCCACTTTTAGGTTTAATAAAGAACCAGAAAAGATAGAAACCATTGAAAATAACCCACGTTCCAGCCATAGAAGAAGCTGCAGAAGAAATGAAGAAAGTAATGATTTAGATTTTGATATTGATTTAGATGACTCAGAAGAAGATGACAATCAAATAATATATTAAAAATGTGAAAACATGAAATTCTGAACATTTTGACTTTGAGGATTTTACCAAAAAATACTATGAAATCCTAATAAAGAATTTGGAATAACCTGTAGAAATGGCCACATTTGTACATGGACAGTATAAATTGTATATGATATATGAATAATTATAAAACTTTAATTCAGAGTTTTCTTACAATAAATTTTTAAGTAACATATGCCAAAATGAGTATTGGGGTATCAAATTCAGTTCATGGGAATTATTTAGAAAAATATACTACCTAATATATCAAAGTAAACAAGATTTGGAATTGATGATGATATAAGAACTGTCTCATGGAAAAATCAGATGAAATTAATACTGCTGGCTTCAAAAAGTGGTCCTCAGTATGTACCTTTTGATAAATTGATATCAAGTAAATAACCCACGTAACAAAAGCCCCCTTAATGTTTGGTTGCTTTATAATTATGTTGTAATAATAAATTTTAAAAGTATAGTTTTTTCTTTGAAAGGTATTTTTATATACTTCATCACATTATTTACCTTTGTTTTGTGAAGTATACAGAAAATACATGTAATATATATATAGTTTAATAAATAATTATAAAGAAAACTCACATCTATTCCCAAATGATCACATTATTTACTTTTGTTTTGTGAAGTATACATACAGAAAATACATGTAATATATATATATAGTTTAATAAATAATTATAAAGAAAACTCACATCTATTCCCAAATGAAGAAACTACTCCTAAACAGCCCCGGCTGGTGTGGCTCAGTGGATTGAGTGCTGGCCCACAAACCAAAGGGTTGCTGGTTCGATTCCCAGTCAGGGCACACGCGAGGGTTGCAGGCCAGGTCCCCAGTAGGAGGCATGTGACAGGCAACCACACATTGGTGTTTTTCTCCCCTTCTTTCTCCCTCCCTTCCCTTCTCTATAAAAATAAGTAAATGAAATCTTTAAAATAAAAATAAAATAAAAAAATAAAAAGGAAACTACTCCTAAACAATATAAATTAGGTTCAAATCAAATTTTTGAACTTTTTTCTTTTTATCTTAAAAAATATTAAACCTAGAGAAAAGTAACAAAATAATACAATGAACCTTTGTATACTCCCACCTAGATTTGTATTTGTTAACAATTTGCCGTGTTTTTTTGCATTTGAGTAGGTGGAAATGGATACACATTTTATTTGCTGAGCCATTTGAAAATAGTAAGTGGCAGGCATTGGTTTTGAACAGACTTACACTCTGCATGTTATTTTGTATCTCTTTTGTATTGCATTATTATGAAATTGGTGAGATTGATCCAGGTTGTTGCAAGAGCTCTGATTCATTTGTTTGACATTACTTTGTTTTATTCTGTTGTGTTTGCATACCACGATTTATTTATACTGTCTGTGTTGAGGGACATTTCAGTTATCTCAGTTTTTTCTTATTAAAAACAATACTGGTGTTAGCATTGTCATGTGTGTTTTTTTGAAATACATCTTGTTTCTTGGTATATACATTGCTGTATATGTGAATCTAGCAGCGGTTGAGGGCACCAGGCTTATACATGTTCAGTGTTACAATCCCAAGCTTTCTTTCCAGAACGATTGTTATCTCCCTTCCCCACAGCTGTGTGTTTGATTCCAGTGTTTCTGTGTCCTTTCCAACACTTGGATCAGACTTTCAGATTTTGTGAACTTGTTATGTGTGCTATGTATGTCTTTGCCTCATTGATTTTTATTTCTCCAGTACCAAGTTTGAGTTCCTTTTTACGTTTTGACTGGTTTTTGGTTATTAGATTCTATTAAGGCATTATTTAATAATGTTATTTAAGAAATGCATACTACATGTTTAAGGGTGTAATGTCAATTTACTTTAAAATATTTCAACATAAGAAAGTGAAGATGGATAACATTACAGTGGCATCAAAAATATGTCAACCAGAGCCCTGGCTGGTGTAGCTCAGTGGATTGAGCACAGGCCTGTGAACCGAAGGATCACAGTTGGATTCCCAGTTGGGGCACATGCCTGGGTTGCAGGCCAGTTCCTGGCAGGGGATGCACGAGAGGCAGCCATACACTGGTATTTCTCTCCCTCTCTCCTTCCCTTCTCCTCTAAAGATAAAGAAATAAAATCTTTTAAAAAATTATTATTAAAAAATATGTCAACCAGGAGTAAATTTAAAAAATACTCAGGTACTTTGTCGACAAAAGTATAAAATCTCAAGACATTAGAGAAAATGGAGGCAGAAACAGAGGAAGATAAAAATAAGTGGAGAGAGGTACCAGGTTCATTGTGTGAAAGTCTCAATAATCTAAGCTTGCAGTCTTACTGCAAGTTTCTTTCCCAGTTTGTGTGGCTTGCTTGGTTGCATATAAATTTATTTGCTGGACTATGTAACTTTTGTGGTTAATAGACAACTAAATTTTTATTAGGCCTAGAATAAGTTTTTCCCATCTGAATAAATTATAATTCCTCAGATAGCCAAGAGAGAAATTGAACAAAGAGCATCACCTAGTGACATCTACTAATATCTGCATTCCACTCTTTTGGGCTAAGAAAGGTTGTTTCGCTTTCTTTAAAAGACTTAAATTTAGGTGTTTTATGTAGTTCACTTTTATTTCTTTAGGAATTATCCTTTCTAATCTAAAAAGTATTTTTAAAATAAGAACCCAGCATGGATCTAAATCCTGCCTCGGTCATTTAGCAGCTGACTTGATACAGATTAATCTTCCTGTGCCTTGGTTCCCATCAGGTTGATAGAAGGATGCACTGATACATAAAAATGCTTGGGACCCTATAAGAACAAATTCACGTTATTGCTACTATGAGTACGTGTACGTGTATATTTAATCAATGAACATCAATTTGGTTATTTGCCTATATTTCCCAAAAGAATACGTATATAGAGCATGCAGAATGTGTGTATATGGAATCCTGTAACTTGTAGATCCACACTGTCTGGCTCCAGAGTCTGTTTTTTATTTAACTACTGCCCTGTAGTACCACTGTATCACATGTCAAAAGCATTTCTAAAGGTAAATAGAGAAAGCTTTATTGTATGGAGGACGTGGCATGAACAAGTTATGTGGTGATTAAAAAGGCTTGGAATAATAATGGTAATAGTATTCAACAAATAATTTTGAGCACCTATGTGTGCAAAGCACTGCTCAGGATACTTAGGGTACAACCATCAACAGAACGGAGATACCTATCCCTTCAGAGAATACCTTTTAGTGGGTAGAGACAGACAATAAGTAGTACACGTAAGTAAATCATATATTAGAAGGTGAACAGTGCTATAAGAGGAAATAAGTCATGGTAGGGTGATTGGAAGTCTAAGGGCACGGACGGGGTGGAAAGGAGGGTGCACAAGTGGGTGGGGAGTGGGCTGTGGTTTTTAAATACCGTGTCAGGAGGGACACATCGGAGAAAAGTGTCCCTGGCCAAGGGAACAGCCACTGTGAGGTCTCTAACGTGCCAGGTGTGTAACAGCAAGGAAGGGAGTGAGTTTAAGTTGGAGAATCCTGAGAGGTATGATCATATGCTTTTGAAATATTTATCTTTGATTTTTTTGCATTTTGCTGTGATTTCTAAGGTGTGAACTTCTTATTTATGCTACTTACAGTTTTCTGAGCTCCTCCAATCTCTTGGTTAATGTCCTTAAACAGACTTGGAAAATTGTTGGCTGTTATTTCTTCTAATACTTCTTTTTTAATTCTTCCTTCTACTTCTCGCACTCCAGTTACATGTACTGTTGGACCTTTTTGACTCTGATGCAAGTATTTTTCACGCTCTGCCTTCTTTTTTCCATTCTTTGTTTCCTGTGCTTCAATTTATGTTTTCTATTGTTCTTTCTTTGCACTTATTAATTCTATCTGCTAGATAATAGATTTAATGTGTTCAATCTGCTTTTAAACTCATCTAATAAATTCTTAATTTTGGATGCTGAATTTTGCAGTTCTAAAATGTACACTTGATTCTTTTTAAATAGAGTTTAGTTCTGTTAAAATATTGCATGTTACCTATCTTTCCCATTTTCTTTGACATTAATTACAGCTATTGTGAGGTCCTTGTTCATTTTTGTTTGCTTTTAGTGGATTATTTTATCTCTTGGCTACTGGTCACTACCCCTGCCTTGCATATCTAATCATTTTTATTGTATGCTACAAATTGTACGTGATGAATTACAGAGGCTTCCTCTGAAAATAAATTATTGTAGATCACCTTGAGCCTGTCAAAATTGGGCTTCAAATTTGTTAGGGGTGGTCTATTTCAGTTTTGCCCTTATTTCTAGAATTTCTCATTTCTGTCTCTTACTCGTTAAAGGTTGTCTTTATTCCTACGCATGTATTTTCTGGGGTCTGAATGCCAGGGGTGTTCACCAAGGCATTGCCACTCAGGGCGAGCCCCAGCTCCGGCCTGCGTGACCTCTGAAGTCCCTGTCTAGCTCTGAGCCTCTCGCAGCAGTTCTCTGCCGGGACTCCTGCAGTTGTGCCCTGCGTGTATGCAGATCGGGAGATAGGAGTGACCAGGGTGGAAGGAAAATCAAGAAAGGGTGCCCTGGAAGGTCAGTGCACAGGTATTGAGTGCTTAACATATCCTGTCACTGCCCTCAACTAAGCCCTTTACGTGATAAGCTCATTGAATGTTTATTATGGCCTTGGGTAGTGATAACTGTCATCATTTACATCTACAGATGTGAAACTGGGGTTAAGTGATTTGGCCTACAGCCAGAAACTGTTGGGCCTGGGTTTTAAACCTCTGCGCCCCTCTGATCCCCGAACCTGTCCTGCACACCAGGGGCAGTGTGCATAAGAACGGGTGAGTCGCTCACTGGAGAACTTCCCTGTTTTGCTCACCCCTGTTCCAGGACTCTGCCCCTGGCACAATGTCATTCCCATTATTATCTTTGACATTTTAGAGCTTTTTCCCCTCATTTTCTCTGAAGAACTGTTGGGTCACAGTCATCATTGGGGGGTACTTAGGTTTTTAGTTGTTGCTCATGCAGCTGAATTCACCTCACTTTTTAAACATTCTCCCCCCATCACTGTTGGTTTCCATGTGTGAATCATAACCCCTGTAATCTTTCTAATCAGGTGATGTCACTTTATTGTGAGACTTACTTGCATAATGGAAGGAATATAAATGTAACAATTCTGGATATATCTGTAGCTGTACTGGGCAGGTAAGTTGTGATTGTCTGCTAACCCAGTAATAATTATTAGGAGAGAAAAAACTGTTTTTGTATGTACTTGGTGCTTATCCATATATATATATTTTTTATCATGTAAGGTAAACAGCAATGTGTTCTGAGTGAGTATTCTGTTTTTCTTGTGACTCAACTAAGGCTCAGAGGTTTAATAACTTGCCAAAGTCAAAAAAAGATAATGATCAATCTGGGATTCAAACAAAGTGTTTGTGGCACCAAAGCCTATATTATTTCAACCACATGTATGCAAAATTAAAAATATTTTATGTTCCTAAATGTTTTTTGTATTTTCTTAGGTGAAATTGGTAACAGTAACTTATACCTCTATCCCTTCTTTCCCTCTTTCTAGGTCTTTTCCTTCCCTTGTACCATTAAGTGCTGTGCTGAATGATTGTCCAGGTTAAAAGGTATGCTTTTTAATTTTTATTTATTTATTTGTTTTATATTGCGTTTACTCAGGTGATACTGGTTAACACAGTTATGTAGGTGTTGGGTGTAAATTCTGTAATACATCATCTGAATATTGTATTGGGTGTTCACTACCCCGAGTCACGTCTCCCTTTTTACCCTTTTCTACCCCCCCTAACCCTTCCCTCTGGCAATCACCGTACTTGGGGCTCAGATTTTTGTCACTCATTATGTTGACATTTTTTAGTAATACTGAATGTTGAAGACAATTTTCCACAATTTTTACTGGCAATCCTTATGAAGCAGTGGGAGTGTATTGAGATTACTTACTCAGCTCTATACTAAAGGAATCCTGCAATTTTGTAAGTATACGTATGGAAAAACTTTTGAATCCCCAAATGTCATATGTGAGACTTTTTAAGTAATTGAAGCACCAGGCCTTCAAAAGATATTACTACATAAAATTACTCATGAAGTTTCACCTTTTATTTCTACATTAGCTTTAACTTCACCGAGATCAGACAAGCTTAGGCAAGTTCAGGGTGCTATGGCTTTAGACTCTATATTACCTTAAATTTTTAAAAGATTTTACTTATTTATCTTTAGAGGGGAAGGGAAGGAGAGAGGGAGAGAAACATCAGTGTATGGTTGCCCCTCGTGCATCCCCTGCTGGGAACTGGCCTGCAACCCAGGCATGTGCCCTGACTGGGAATTGAACTGCGGTTGTTTGGTTTATAGGCCCATGCTCAATCCACTGAGCTATACCAGCCAGGGCAAAATTTTTTTTATAATCTTAAAAAATATGTTTGCTTTTAAAGGAAATTATTTACATTATC